TTTATATATTGCCATATCATCTGCAAATAATGATTGCTTTACTTCCTGTTTCCCATTTTGGAGTCCTTTTATGTCTTTCTCTTGCCTAATTGCTCTAACTAGAACTTCCAGTATTATATTGAAAACCTGTGGTGAGAGTGGACATTCTTGTCTTCTCCCAGAGCTTAATGGAAAGGCTTTCATAATTGAGAATTATGTTAGTTGTGGGTTTGTCATATATTGCTTTTATTATGTTAAGGAGCATCATTATGCTCCTTTTATGCCAAGTTTTGTTTATTGCTATACACTTTCCTCTAATACTGTTTTTGCCATGTCCCATATGTGGTCTTTCATTAGCATGTTATTCAGTCTCCATGATTTCTGCTTGCTTTCTTTTTGTAGCTGATTTGTAGTTTTATACCTGTGTTGTCAGAGAAGTTGCTTGGTATGATTTTGATCTTCTTGTACCTGTTGATGTTTTTTTTAATGGCCCAGTATGTGGCCAAACCTTGAGAATGATCTGTGCATACTTGAGAAAAATGTATATTGGGTATTTGGGAGTGCAGTGTTTCATAAGGGTCTGCTAGGCCCATGTGGTCTAGATCGTTAAGGCTATTTAGGGCTGATGTGTCTTGTTAATTTTGTCTTGTTAATCTGTCCATTATCATAGTGGAGTGTTCAAGTCTCCTACCCCATATGTATTTTCTCCTATGTCTGTTTTCACAGATGATAGTAGTTGTCTCATGTAGTTTGGTGTTGCTTCATTTGGTGAATATATATAGTGTTGAGTGTTATGTCTTCCTGGCATATTACCTCTTTGGTCATTATATAGTGTCCGGCTATGTTGCTTGTCACCTTTGCAGCTGAAAGTGTATTTTATCTGAAATAAGTATGACTGCCCCCACTTTTTGGGTGCCATTTGTTTATAGATTTGTTTTTCAACCCTTTACTTTCAATGTATGTTTATCTCTAGAACTTAGGTGTGTATCCTGGAGGCTGAAAAAGTTTGAATTCTGTTTTTTAAACCAACATGCTATCCTCTGTGTGGTTTTTCTGTTTGTTTGTTTTTGTCTTTGTTTTGTGTGTGTATGTGTGTGTGTTTAGTCCAATAACTAAAGTTACTTATTGGTGAGTATTAGGGTGAGTATTAGTATGTGGAAGTCTGTTATTGCCATTTCATCATTTTTTGGTTCTATTGTTCTATTTACTTTCTTGTTACAATTCTTCCTTTGTTGTTTTAGATCCTAAGCCTTCTTGTAATATTACAATTTAGTTGTAGTGAATTCCCAAAGATTTTGTCTGAGAAAATCCTTATTTTTCTCTCATTTTGGAAGGAGAGCTTTACAGGATATTTTTTTTTAAAGATTTATTTATACAAGAGCTGGGGTACAGGCCAGAGGCGTGAGAGGGTAAGTGAATTCACCAGAGACAGAGCAGGGAGCAGAACAGGCAGAAGGACTAAAAACACTGCTGAGGGGAGCAGTGGGCGAGACAAGAGAGGTCGGGAATCGAACCCGTGCTGTAGAGGCTGCAGACAGTTTCATAGAGCTGCGTTCAACCCACTGTGCCACCACTGGGGGCAGCCCCCCAGGATAGAATATTCTTAGTTGGCATTTGTTGTGTTGAATTTTTTTTTAATATGTCATTCAGTTTGATGTTAGCCTAATCAGCTTTCCTTTATATGTTGTTTCCTCCCCTTTATTGGTTTCATTATTTTTTCTTTGTCTTGGACTCTTGGAAGCTTTACTTCTTTGTGTCTTGCTGTAGATTTCCCTTCATTAAAATAGTTTTGTATCCTTTTAGCTTCCTGTATGTGTATTTTCATTTCCTTTCTCATTTTTGCATAGTTTTCTTCAATTAGTTCCTTGAATAGCTTCTCCTCTCTTTCTCTTCTCCTTCTGTGATTCCTATGACTATTTCTTTTACTCATTAAGTCAGATAATTCTCAAAGTGTTACTTAATTAGTTTTCCTTTGTCTCTCTCTTTCTTGATTCTTTTTGTATCTGTGTTTTTGACATTACCAATTTGCTTTCCTGTATTTATTGTATTTTCATGGCTTTTTCAGAATTTTTAATTTTCTCACTTGATGTTTTTACATCTTGCAATTCCTTTATTTTATTATTTAATGTTTCAATCTCTATCTTCTGTTTCTTGATTGTTTCTTAAAACCTTCTTTTCCTTTTCTGCTTCTTGTATCTCTGATCTGTTTTTCTGAGTTTGATTGTGTCCAAATTCTTTGACTTTCTTTATTATGGATTTTTAAATTTTTCTGACAAGAAAACATTTAAAAAAAAGAAAACTTTTTTTACTGTGTCTTTTTTTCTTTTTTCTGCAGACTGATATTCTTTCTGTGCGGTATTGTTCCCTGCAGGGCTTGCTTGATCATTCGTATTTTTCTTTCTCTCCATTGTTAGCTTTTTGGTTTGTTCCAAGCATACATGGTCTGGGAGGATGTTTGGTTGCTGGACTGGTTGACTGGAACTCCTGAGGCTCCTACCAAGGTTTGGGTCTTCCAGATTGCTGTGGCTAGTGGCCAGGACTGCTGGCCACTCTTATGGGGTGTGCATGGTCCAGGAGGATGACTGGGTTGCTATGGCCAGCAGCTGTTAACCCTTGTGGATCCACCTAGCTTGGGTCATCAGACTGCTGGGGCTGGTGGCTGGGCCTTCCAGGAGCTATTACCAGAGCATGCTTGGTCCAGGCTGCTGGGGCCGGTGGGTGGAACCCCCAAGTCACCTAGGCTTTTGTTTTTTTGAGTTCCACAAGCTCTGCCAAAACTGTCCTACTTTGCTCCCCTTGTGTCATGCTTCATAGCTCTGGGGTGGGGAAGGTTGAGCATTTGTGATGTGATGTATTCCTGTCTCTTCATTTTTAATTTTTATGGGTCTTATTAGAGAGAGATTTTCAGACTTCTGTGTTTTCAGGTGTTGGAGTAATGTAAGGACTAGTACAGGCAATAGGTAGTAGGCATAAAGAGGGCTGGGGTAGTAGGGTTCCAAATGATCACCTCCAGTAGATTCAGGAATTTGAACTTCCTACAGTTATGTGGGTGTCAGAGTTGTGTGGTGAGTATCCATAGTAAGACCCTCCTCTAAGCCAGCTCCTCAGTCTTAGTGTTTCTTATAGTCTTGTGTTTACTTCCAGTTTAGGCTATTTTTAAGAACTGGATACAGCTGGGCACTGAGTATAGTTGATAATGGTTCTTGAGCCAGGAGTGATTTTCTTTTCTTTTTCAACAGAGTCTTATGCAAGGGTGTTTAGTTCCTGTTATTGGTAGCTCCTTAACTCTATAGTTTGCCCAAATATTTCTTTGATTTGGTTTTAGCCTGGGGTGGAGTGTGGCAGGTGTTTTCAATGTGACAGCTTGGGCTTCTGGTAGTAATATACCTCTTGTATAAGGAAATTCAGGTGTTCTGACCCAGTTTGCTATGAGACCCTACCCTTACCTGGGAGGACTCTTATGATATCTCTGTATATTTACTATTATGAATTATTTTCTTGTCATGTTAATTTTTTATAATGTTAGTGTGTTTGTTTTGTGTTTGTAATTGATATTCAGTTATCTCTGTGATCTAAATAATGAGCCCATTTCCAAATCCTTTTTTTTTAGCACTCCCCACCCTTGCAGCTTTTCATCTATGCGCTCTCTGTCCTGAGTGTCAACTCATGCAACCCCTTGTCCAGTGTAGTGCCAGATCTTAGGATCCCCAGTGGTCAAGTGTACAAGAGTTAATAGATGGAAGGGGCTCTGCAGAGCCAGCTATTACTAAGTCCTTTCTGGATTCAACACCTGTTTCTGTATCTAGCTAGTTATATAATATTAGAGAAATCTCTTGGCCCCTCTCTAAGCTCTGATTTTATCATCTGTGAGCTAGGCTTTGATATCTGTTCTTTCTACTTCAAAGGGATATTATAAAATAAAATGAGATAATTTAGTGAAATCATCAGTGAAGCAGTACATAATCTAATAAGATAATAAATTGATAAAATAGGTGACATAGAGTCATAATGGTGATTACAGCTGATCTTGATTTCCCTTGATCATAGATGTGTTATGAGCTCCTGACTTCTCTAAATCCATTTACTGTAATGAATAAAAAACATTATGTTTATAACATTCATTTATGGTAAATGTATAAATACCTATTTTATAAATTATATAATATATTCTCTGGTATATATATAATATATTCTCTGGTATCTTTATGATGTATATGTTTATACATATATTCACTGGCATGTACCATATATATATCTGCATGTACCATATATATATCTATACACACACGTACATATATCTAAACATATCTTTTTTATTCAGTAAACTACCTGGGTTCAGGAAAGTGAGCAGCTTCAGACATAAACCTTTTTTTGATGGGTGATGTGATGTGATGTATGTATGTGATGTCCCTGTATGTTTACTATTATGAATTATTTTATTGTCATGTAATTTTTTTATAATGTTAGTGTGTTTGTTTTGTGTTTCTAACTGATACTCAGTTATCTCTGTGATCTAAATAATGAGCCCATTTCCAAATACTCTTTTTGGAGCATAACCCCCCACCAGCAGTAAGCAAGTTTTCTCATTGACTACACTATGAGTCTATTTTACATTTATCTGCTTCTCCCATCTGGCAGGCAGATTCTGAATCTGCCCCCTCTGCCCCATGCATACCATCCTGCTGTTCTTTTCCCTGACAACTTGCACTTTGCTAGGCTGAAAAGGCAACAAATAATGCATGTTTTTAGAATAATAAGGAAGACTAGAAAGGGAGCCATACTGATCTGAAAGTAGCCCATATTTGTAAGAATTAGAAAACTTCCAAGAAATATTAACAAAGGATATTACTTACCTAGGAGGATTTGGCCTCTGGGAAGAGAATGTAATGCCAAAGAAGGTAAAATTTGAATGTTTTATCTTTGTATCTGGTGCGATACACTTATATAAAGTATAAATGTCTTTTAAATTTTCTGAAGCTTTTCTGTTAACTAAACTTAATACATTATAATTCATTAAACAGAGGCGGGCTAGCCGAAAGAATATATGGGCTGCAGAATCGTGAGAGATCTGCTATTTCTATGTGGAAATGCCAGTGTTCTTCTTCCCAAAAGACACCTTCAGGTAAGGCTTCCACCAACATCAGATTGTGGGTAAAGAATATGATACCTCCCCACAGACCCTTCCATGGTTCAATAGAAGAAACCTTGAAGATGTGAGTTGGAGGATTTTATATTAGTACTATCTCTTGCTAAAGTGAGGCAAGTGATTTCAGACTTTTATATCTGCAATGGATAGAAAGAAATGTCTTATATTAATCTATCAACACATACGACATTTATTCTCTCTCACACACACAAACCCTGAAATAAGCATTTTATGACAACACTAACTTTAGAATGTATAATATACTCTGCATTCCCTTTTTATTTTTGCCATAGTTGTAGTCTCAATAAATTGATACAGGACCCTTTTAATGAGTTGAAACATGCAGTGTGAAACTGATTCGTTTCAAGCAGGTGTTGGAAATTTCTGTTTGTTAGAAACTTTTTTGATATTTAAAAATTTCATGTACCTAGCAAAGCTGCTTTTCTTGAGGCAGCAGCGTTCTTTTTATGATTTTTGCTGGGTGCTCTCTCCATCTGGTGTGGGGAAAGAGGTGAGTGGGCATGGTTATCTATCCTATATCTATTATTAATAGCATCTCTCCAGAGGAATCCTTGGAATATACATTTCAATAGGCTAACAGTTTGTTTTTGTACATGCTAGAGTACAAAATGGAACTAGAGTATTAGATTGAACACTTGAATGTATGTTCTCAACTATCATGCATTTCTTTGGAAGATATTCCAGTTCCCTTTTTTTCCTTCAATCGTGTTAATATTGGTTTAAAATGTTGTTTGTGATTTAAGAGGTATAGCATCTCCACCCATGGAGCATTGGTACCACTCTGCACGAAGAACCAAAATACCTAAAGTTCTCCATTGTGTGACCTTCTCACTTTGTTCTATTTCCACCCACCCCCCCCCCACCCCGGCAACTTCAGTTTTACAAGGCCAGATTTCTAGGGTTTGTGATTGGTTTGGCTTTATTTGACATTTTGTTTTGTTTCTCTGTTCCACATATAAGTGACATTATCTGGCATTTGTCTTTCTTCTTCTGACTTACTTCATTTAGCATGATCCTCTCTAGTTCCATCCATGTTGCTGCAAATGACAAGAGTTGATCTTTTTTTTTGATAGCTCAGTAGTGTCCAGTCATCTGCATTTGGGTACTTCAGTTTTTTCTATAGTTTGGCTTTTAGTTTTTCACTATTGAGAACGATTAGCTGTGGATTGTCATAGATGGCCTTATTATGTTTAGATATGTTTCACCTCTCCCTAGTTTTTGAGGGTTTTTGTCATGAATGGATTTGAATCTTATCAAATGTTTTCTCGCTATCTATTGATGTGATCATATGATTTATATTTCCTTTTATTGACACAGTGAATTAATTACATTGATTGATTTTTCAAATATTGAACCATTCTAGTATTCCTGTAATGAATTCCACTTGGTCATGGTGTATGATCCTTTTAATGTATTGGTGAATTTGGTTTGCTATGATTTTGTTGAAAGTTTTTGCATGTATATTCATCTGCAAATCAGTCTGTAATTTTATTTTCTTGTGGTGTCTTTAGTTTTGGTATAAGGGTTATGGTGGTCTCATAAAATGTCTTTGAAAGTATTCCCTTTGCCTTAGTTTTTTTGGAAGAGTTTGAGAAAGGTGGGTATTAATTCCTCTGTGAAGGTATGGTAGAACTAACTAGTTTAACCACCTGATCCTGGAATTCTGTTCTTTGGGAGAATTTTGATTGCTCTTTCAATTTCCTTGCTTGTAATTGGTTTGTTCAGGGTTTCTATTTGTTCCCTATTCAGTATTGGATGATTGTGTAATTCTAAGAATATGTACATCTCTTCTAGGTTATTGAATTTGTTAGCATATAGATGCTACAATAATAGTCTCTGGTTATCCTCTGAATTTTTGCAGCATCAGTTGTATTTCTCCACTTTCATTTTTGAGACTTCTTCCCTATTTTCTTGGTGAGCCTTTCTGGAGGTTTGCCCTCCCTCCCCAAAAGAAACAGCTTTGGTTTCAGTGATCTTTTGGACTGTTTATTTTCTATTTCATTGTCTTCTGCTTTGATTTTTAATACTTCTGTTCTTCATTGTTTCTGTGTATATTGTTCTTCTTTTCTCAATTCCTCAAGTTGAGAGAGAAGGTTATTTATTTGAGCTCCTTTTTGTTTTTTGATGTGGGCCTGTACTATTTATTTTCCTCTTAGGTGTGCTATTGCTGCATCCCATAAGTTTTGAATGGTTGTATGCTCATTTCCATTTCTTAAGGTTATTTTTTAATTTCTTCTTTCATTTCCTCATTAACTCAGTGGTCTTTCAGTAGTGTGTTGTTCAATCTCAATGTATTAAAAGATTTTCCCTGCTTTCTTTTGATAATTGATTTCTCTTTTGATATCTTCGTTGTCTGAGAAGATGCTGGGTATAATTTCAGACTTCATGATATTGTTTGTTTTGTGTCCCAGAATGTGGTGTATTCTGGAGAATGTGCCATGTGTGTTTGCAAAAAAAATATGTGTATTCTGCTTTTTTGGAGGTTCAGTTCCCTCTAAATGTTTATGAGGTTCATGAGGTTTGATTCTGTATTTAAGGCTATTGTATCCTTTTCTATTTTCTGGCTAGTTGATTTGCCCACTGGTGAGAGTGGGATGTTGAAGTTTCCTACCACTAATGTCTTTTTTCCAATGTTTGTTTTCAAGTTGATAGTAGTTGTGTAATGTATTTTGATGCTCTTTCATTTAATGTATGTATGTTGATGAATGTTAACTCTCCTTGATATATCATTCCCTTTATTATTATATAGTGTCCCTCTCTGTCTTGTTACCTTTTTTTTTTTAAGATTTATTTATTTATTTATTTATACATGCACTGGGTATAGTCAGAAGCGCGGGAGGGTGAGAGAATTCACCAGAGCCAGAGCGGGGAGCAGAGCAGGCAGAAGGACCGAAGTACACTGCTGAGGGGAGCAGCGGCAGCAGGAGAGGTCTGCGCACCATGTGGGACTCTCCACTGGTAGCCGGGGAGCAGCCGGGTCAAACCGGCACTGCAGAGGCTGTGGGCAGCTTCGCAACCCGGTGGTCAACTGGGGAGGCCCTGTCTTGTTACCTTTTTTAACTGGAAATCTCTTTTGTCTGAAATAAATATGGCTGTTACTGATTCCTATTTGCTTGTAGGGAGTATTTTTCAACCCTTAATTTTGAGTCTGTGTTTGTCTTAGGAGCTTAGGTGTGTCTCCTGGAAACAGCAGAAGGTTGGATTCTGTTTCCTGATTCAACTAGATACTATTTGTCTTTTAATTGGTAAATTCAGTTCATCTACACTGAAAATAATTATTGATATGTGATAGTCTGTTGCTGCCATTTTATTCTTAATTTATGCAGGTCAATATATTTATTTAATTCTTTGTATATGTTTCTTTTTCATTTTCAGTGTATAAGCTCCTTTCAATATTTCTTAGAGGGGTGGTTTAGTGTTTGCAAACTCCTTGAGCTCTTTATGTCTGAAGAGTCCTTTATTCCACCCTCATATCTGAAGGAGAGTCTTGCAGGATAGAGTATTCTTGCCTGGCAGTTTTTCTTTTTAGGTATTTAGATATGCCATCCAATTCCATTCTCCATGCTCTTAGTGTTTTTTTCAAAGAGGTCTTACATTAAATTTATCAGGGTACCTTTGTAGGTTATCTGCTTCCACCCTGTTGGTGGCTGCACTATTCTTTCTTTGTCCTGAATTTTGCAGCTATCACTCCTCTGTGTCTGTCTTGTTTTATCTAGATATGCCAGGATTTTTTTTAGCTTCCTGGATTTGTACATTTATTCCCTTGTCTAGCTTTGGGAAATTTTTCTCCATTCTTTAAATGTATTTTCTGTTTCTTTCTCCCTCTCTTCTACCCCTTGTATTCCCATTATTCTTATTTGTCTTTTCTCATGCAGTTGGATAGTTTTCAGAGTGCTTCTTCATTTGATTTAATTTGTTTCTCTCTCTCTATCTAGGGTCTTTGTACTTTTTTTTTTTTTAAGATTTATTTATTTTTGCATGCTAGAGCTGGGGTGAAGGCCAGAGGTGTGCAGGGTGGTGAGAGGATTCACCAGAGAAAGGGTGGGGAGCAGAATAGGTGGACTGACTGAAATACACTGTTGAGGGGAGCAATGGGTAAGATAGGAGAGGTCCACTGTACCATGTGGGTCAGCTCCCTGGCTGGGGGTTGAACTTGTACTGCAGTGGCTGCCCACAACTTCATAGTGCTGAGACTTAACTCCATGCACCACCAGGGAGACCTTCTTAGTGCATTTCTATCTTCAGTTACACTGACTGGTGGTTTTACTTGATGTATTCTACAACTTTTTCCTGACTTTTTCAACTTCTGCATTTCTCTTTAGAAATCCTGAAGGTCATGGACCTCCTGGTGGTGTAGAGTTTAAGTCTCAGCACTATCACACTGTGGTCACTGCCGCCTGAGTTCGATCACTCACCATGGAGCTAACCCACATATAGGACAGCAGAACTTTTCTATCTGGCCCACTGCTCCCCTTAGCAGTGTATTTCGGTAAATCCAGCTTCTGCTCCCTACTCTGTCTCTGGAGAATTCTCTCATCCCCCACACCTCTGGCCTATACCCCAGTTCTTCTATGCATAAATAAATCTTTGAAAAAAAGAAATCCTGAAATTCCATTTTTGTCTTATTTAGAGCTCATTTATAAATGTGTTTCTAGTTTTATAAGGCATTGCATATATTAATATTTAATCTTTTAGTGGTAATCTTTAATATAGCTTTCTGGCTAAACAAAAATATTCTTAAAGTTATTTGGTTTGTAGATTTTAATTTTTAATTTCTTTCCTCATGGACAACTTACTTTTCTGGGGTTTTTATACTCTCAGGAAGAGAAGACCTTGTTTTCATCTACCTACTACTACATTTCAGTATAAAAGACACGTATCTTCTGTCGTCAAACCTGAATAACTTTTAAGTTTGTGCTTATTACTTCCTTGGTCAATTTTTGTGATACACGAAA